CCTTTCGCCTCTCCGACAGCCGCCCTCACCTGCAGTTTAGCGAGGAGGTGCGCTACGACCTCTGGTCCCGGCTGGTGGACGACTCGAAGGTGAAGGCGGGGCTGCCACCGATGGGAGTGGCCTTCCCAGTGATGAACTCCACCGTAGTGGCTGCTCCGACAGTACAAATCGAAGCACCTGCTCAGCCCCAAGCTCCAGCTGCTCAACCACTGGAAAGTCCCGATCTGAACAGTCTGCTTTCGAAGCTGACTGCAGCGGGACTGATTTCGAATCCGCCGCCATCGGTGCTGGCTGCTGCTGCTGCTTCAACAACTCCTGCTGAGCCCGTGGTCAATCCACTTCCTCAGCCTATGGTTCCGGCGGCTCTTCCTCCTCTGCTCACGAAACCAACACCAGCTCTTCTTCAGCCGAAAACATCACTTCCACCACTGCCACCGGTGCCCACCTCGCACCACCCGAATGGACGGCGGAAAACGAAACGGGAGCGGCGCATCGACCGGCAGCGCTATCGCGCCGCCCTCCGCTACCACCAGCAACAGGCGCAGCTGGCGGCGATGCAAGCGCAGGTGGCGAGGACCGCTCCACAGCAGACGTCGAAGCCGCAGCCGCCCAAGCGCTACCTTCCCTTGGAAGTGGCGGCTCTCAAGGCGGTCCACCCCTTCCCCGTGGAGCAGCTGTACAGTGGGACGCCGTGTACGAACTGCTCGCTCCGTTTCGGCGAAGACGCTCTAAAGGTGGAAGAGGGCAAGAAGAGCAGTCGATATGCGCGACACCTGGACTGGCACTTTCGGCAGAATCGACGGCTCAAGGCGAAGCCCTCCACCAGTTCTACTGAAACTAGCTCATCGAGTACTTCATCACGAGGAGGACGAAGAGGTGGTATTCTTGCGGAAGTTCCCTTTGTGGAGGCCGTCTGTGAGGAGTTGGGCATCAAGAAGCCTTCCTGGAACTACCAAGAAGGCGCCTACCTGCTGNGAGGGCAAGAAGAGCAGTCGATATGCGCGACACCTGGACTGGCACTTTCGGCAGAATCGACGGCTCAAGGCGAAGCCCTCCACCAGTTCTACTGAAACTAGCTCATCGAGTACTTCATCACGAGGAGGACGAAGAGGTGGTGGTCACCACTCAAAGACCACTGCCGCCACTACCTCTTCGGCGACCATCTCCACAGCGGCCGCCGCCCAGCGCCGCGCCTGGTACTACCCACTTGACCTGTGGATCCTCTACAAGGAGGTCAATGACGACCTGGAAGAGGAGGCGGCCGCAGCGGCGGCCTTCTTCGACGCCAACGCCTCTGCCTCGGCCGCCGCCGGCTTCAGTGCTACTTCCAGTGCCTCAGGAGCTCTGCTTGCAACTTTGGCCTCCTTTGACTGGGGCAGCTTTCGGGAGAGCATTCAGCCGTATGAGGCCTTTATGGAGGTGGTCAATAGCAGCCATGCTACGACTGCTGCTGGAGCTGAAGCAGAGGCAATAGCGGCAAAGTGCGCCCAGTGCACGGTGGTCGCCGAGTCGTCCTCCATCACCGAGATTACCTGCGCCCTCTGCAAGGAGGTTCTGGAGCAGAAGTGGGGCGAGGAGGAGGAGGAGTGGCGGGTGGAGAATGCCGTCAGATTTACGGAAGAGAAAGTGGCCACTGAAGATCAAGAAAATCCTGAAGAAAGTCCCAAGCAAGAGGTGGTGGTGGGAAAGATCTACCACCCGCTCTGTCTGAAGGACCATCTGGTGGCAAAGGAGAGGGCGAAGCAGGAGCAGCTGAAAGAAGAGGAAGCTGCGGATGATGAAGAGGATGATGAGGAGGACGAAGAACTGGACGAGGAGCTGGACGACCTGGAGCTGGACATTTCGTTGACCGCCATCAGTGAGGATCAGCTGAACAGTTCCATCACCACCACTGCCGCAGACAACAGTATTTATGATCGGCTGATTGAGCTTTCTTCTGTGGAGTTTAAGGTTTACTAATGCTCCTTTTTTCTTCTTCCAGGTCTGACAGTCAAAGAAGAGGAAAAGGAGGAAGTGGTTGATCACCGCGCTCGAGTGCTCATTCCCGGGCTGGACATTTCGCTGCGCTCGTCGACGGATAATGATGAAGAGGTTTCGGCCTCTGATCAAACGAAAGAGAAGGAGAAGATGGACGTGGATGAGACTTCAGCAGCAGCTTTGACTTCAACCGACGATCAACAGGAGACAAAGGAGAAAGAAACAAATGAAGAGCAGGTGATCGTCAAGGAAGAGGCGATGGAAGAGGAAGGTGAGGATGTGCCCCGGGAGATTGAAGTAAAGGTCTTTGAGTTTGAAATTCCCATTGCAGCGACTTCGACTTCGACTTCTTCGTCTGCGAATACCAGCACCTCAACGTCAACTACTGTCNAGCAGTTTTGACTTCAACCGACGATCAACAGGAGACAGAGGAGAAAGAAACAAATGAAGAGCAGGTGATCGTCAAGGAAGAGGCGATGGAAGAGGAGGAGGAGGATGTGCCCCGGGAGATTGAAGTAAAGGTCTTTGAGTTTGAAATTCCCATTGCGGCGACTTCGACTTCTTCGTCTGCGAATACCAGCACCTCAACGTCAACTACTGTCGAACAGCTGTTCCAGCTGACAAAAGAGGAGGAAAACACTACCGCTGCAACTTCATCATCATCATCATCTGAACCTCCTCCTCTTCTTGAGCAGTCGTCAGTGGACACCAACTGCAGTGATGATCAACAGCTGTNTTCTTCGTCTGCGAATACCAGCACCTCAACGTCAACTACTGTCGAACAGATGTTCCAGCTGACAAAAGAGGAGGAAAACACTACCGCTGCAACTTCATCATCATCATCATCTGAACCTCCTCCTCTTGAGCAGTCGTCAGTGGACACCAACTGCAGTGATGATCAACAGCTGTCTAAATCGGAGACGAGCCTACCACCACCACCACCACCACCAGCCTCTTGTCATGCGGGCGATGAACACCTCTTCCAGAACTCAACAGATAAGTTGAGCACTGAACCACAANGCCTCTTCTCATGCGGGCGATGAACACCTCTTCCAGAACTCAACAGATAAGTTGAGCACTGAACCACAACTTCCACTTCCTTCGTTGAAACGGGGCGGTCTGGTGATAAACTTCGCAAAGACGACGACTGCCCCAGCTTCAGTCTCATCGCAGCCCGCAGCTTCAACGTCAACTGACTTTGTTGACTCGGCGGGTACTTCTGCGTCTGCATCTGCCACTGACCAGAGCTCTAACGATAATAAAGTTGAAGGAGGTCATGTGATCAAATGTGATGATGAGGATAAAGTGGATGAGGACGGTGGTCACGGTAATCGGGGTGATGATCATCAGCCTGAGAATACTGACCACTCGGTTGCTCAGAGTACACCCGATGACACTGGTCGAGTACTGCAAAGTATCGCTTTGAATATTGAGCACCCGGCGAAGGGGGGTGTGATCGGTAGTTTGTCCTTAACATCCGACCACTCACATCAGTCCCCTCCCTCACCCTCATCTTCAAAGTCGCCATCGTGTGAAGCTAAAGCTGAAGTCGATGCAGCAAGCAAACCCGGTGGTCCTGTGGAGGCAGCTCCAAAGGAGGCAAGCCCCAGCCGCAGTGGCGATCCCAACTACTACTCCCGCGGCGTGGAGATGTCCTCGCTGTGCAGCATCATGTGAACCAACACCAGTCATACCTTTCTCATACCTTTCTCAGTCTCCGGACCAAACAGTCCCCCCTTGTTAAACATCATACATTCTTGTTGATTGCCTATCTATTTTTCATAAATGAACTATTTTCATGTGTACCTTTTTATAAAAAAGCTAATTAATTAATTAATTAAAGTAACTTGTTGTTATATTGCGGTAGTTTGAAGTTTTGTTTTCAATTTTTGCACCAACAAAATCGAAATCTTTCCATGCGTCAAATTAACTGCCAAGTAGATGGCGCAGTTTAAAGGGCGACTACAAATCCTGTCTGCACAGCGCACACACTGGTGCTTCTGCAACTCTCTCGCTCTCGTCGACAGCTGTTTCATCGAGCCGGGCAAACACACCGCAATCTTTCAAAATGATGCTGAAGATGGTTTCCTGACTCCTCTTGCAATATCTTTAAAACTCCACAAACCTCCCACAAGCAACAATGGACCGATTGCAGTATTCGGCAGGGGGCAACGGTGGAGCTGCTGCTGCTGCCACTTCTGCTGGCAATGGCAATGCTGGTGGTGACGGTGCTGGTCGGGTGGTGCATCCCCGACGTGATCCAGAGCGACTGGTCAATCGGTACCAGCCTGGCCACAAGTTCCTCGAACAGCTGCCCAACAAGTCGCCCATGTCGCTGGTCAACGAAGTGGCCCGATATCACAACTTCAAGGCTGAGTACATACTGCAGGACTGCATTGGACCCAATCATTCAAAGGTGTACCGTGGTAAGATTTGCTGATGGAGATGCTCAAGTAAACAAAAACAAAAAAGGCTAATTTCTTTTGTTCAACAGTGGAGCTGCACTTTGGGAACTTTGAAAAGTTTCTAGGTGACGGAAGCTCGATGAGGGCCGCTCAGCGAAACGCCGCTGTGTCTGCTTTGCAGAACACTCAGTTCGGCTTTCCACGTGTACACTTCGGCGGACACGCTCAGCAGACAGCAGGCAGCGGCCCCTGGAACGGCGGAGGCTGCAGCCCCATCACGCAGACGCCTGCCAGCGAACTGAACACCTTGATGATGAAGAAGGGCATTCAGCCAAAGTACGAGCTAACTGAGGAGAAGCCACCGATCTTCAACGAAGCCGAACACTGTTCACAGTATTTACCCGAATTCGACGAAACTTTACACTTTGACAGCCAGGCTCACCAGCACTATTGTCCAACGGTGATGACCAAACCTCCATTGCTTCCCTCACCTGACCACCACCACCACCATCACAAAGGCCCTCATTTGTTGAACGGCAAAATGTACCCGAATGTGGAGGCAGTCAAGTTCGGTTGGCCCACGCCCATTGCTCAGCAAATGGCTGCAGCGTATGGTCATCCTAATGGTTACTTTGTTCCACCACCACCACCTCCGTACATGTATCACCAACCGGCGGCCTACATACGACCAAACCATTACCATTCCTCCTCTAGTTATGCGTCTATTTTTCCCTATCGAGCTCCAATTTCTAGTCATTATTCACCCTGCAACAATTCAAACAGTGATTATTCCTCTGCTCATCATTCTTATCATCCACACGTGAGGCATTCAACTGCTGACCAATGGAATCTCTATCCGGTGTCTCCGTACCTCAGCGGCACACCGGCTCAAACAAACAAAATCAACAGTGCCAATACTAATTTTGAGGCCAAGCTGGAAATCGAAGGTCAGCAGTTTACTGGTCAAGGGTGCACTCCACAGGCTGCTCGTCATTCAGCCGCAAACGAAGCGTTGAAGGTTTTGAAAACTCAAAAATCTCTGCAGAAATCACCGTCGGTTCAGGTTGGCCAGAAAAGTGCCTCCTCTGCCAATTCTGTGGCTGATGAGCCGTCACCCGTTAGTTTGGTCTACGAGTACGCCAATCGAAAGCGTTTCGAGGTTCTCTTTGAAACCGTTCGCGAAAGTGGTCAAGTTCACTTGCGTTCATTTCTGATGCGCTGTTCGCTGTTCAGTGATGCCTCAAAACAGCCATTTCTTACGGCCGACGGAGAAGATTTCTCGAAAAAGGCAGCCAAAAGAATCGCCGCCCAGGCAATGCTCAATGCACTTAAAGAAAAAGACACCGACTCGCCTAAAAAAGACGCCCCGAGTTCGGTTAACAAAGTTTTGTCTCCGCCAAAAGCGAAGCAACTGTCTGTGACCAGCAGCGAACAACAACAGCAACATAAAAAACAACAACAGGAAAAACCAAATGCTGAACAGAAGAGTGCTGAGGAGTGCGCTGCCGATTCAACCATATCCTGCCGCTTTGTTACCCAGCTCTACAATCTAACTCGAAATATGAGCATTACCCATCCAATTTACCTGTTGTCAACTGTTCCTGAAACTGATAAACAGCTCATTGAAAGCTTCAAAGCTGCTCTGGGCGACAGCAAAGGTGATGGGCAGAAGCAGCAGCAGCAATCTTCAGATGGAAAGTCGGTGCTACACAAGGTCGAGTGCTCGGTGACATTTGAGCAGCGTCTACCCGAACAGACCACTTGTCAAGTGGTAGCCACTGGATACGGAGCGAGTGCTCGCATTGCCAAGAGCATCGCTACTTACATTTGCCTGCAGAAACTCGGAGTTGCCCTTCCACCCATTGACACTGCTGATTCAAGCAGCAACAGCAGCAGCAGCACTCTGCTTAAATCGCTAAACTTTTCTCTCACCTACAACCAGAATGTACCTGAGGCGGTTAGACCAATCGGCGAAGAGGACACCGATTTATCTTCTGAGCTTCTGATCAAATCAGCGACGGCCTGCATTGAGCAGAATCTGCAGTTTATAATTCACATTCTGGGAAAGTTGTACCTCTTCACGCTGAAAAACTCCACCAAGTCGCTGGAGTGCATCTTTGCCAAGCTGGAGTCCTCACTGATGACCTTCTACGCGACGAAGTACCCTACAGTGGCCGCCTCAGAGGTGGCCATGAAGTGTGCTCTGCTGGAGCAGTGTGTTGACTCACTGCCTGACCGAAGGCTTTACTGGACACACCTGGAGCTGATCTCCGCACTGGTGCTACTCGGAGTGAACACTGCCGAACTGCAGAAAAATGCTGGTGAAAAGCGGCCACTTCTCCACTTTGAGTCGCACTTCTTTTCTGCCCCTGACAAGCGCGTTTCTTCCTCCTCTTCTTCTTCGCCTCCCTACGTTTCCCTAATCACTGGACACTGTGATGGTGCACTGGCGAGCACCTTCAACTTTTCCCTCATTAAGAAGAACTTTATCAACTTTGGCCTGGGATCCAGCGAGGAGGCAGCTCGGGAGATGGCCAGCTACTGGATTCTCAAAAACCTAGCATATCAGGCCCGAAAGCAGATCATCGACAATGAGTACGTTGAGACGACCGATGATGTTCAGACTCAGCTGCCCACTGGTTCCACTGTCAATCAACACCGGTCACCGCCGAGTGGTGCTGCTAGTAAAAGTATGGCCCGATCACCGAGACAAACTGTGCCGGCGATGAACAACAACAATGGCGATAAATCAGGAATCAGTTCGCCTGGTGTGGCCAAATCAAGAAGCAAATCATCGAATGCCTCATACGGTCAGCTCATCTCAAAGGAGTGCATTGGACTTCTCTTTAGAGCGGCCAATGAGCTGAATATTCGCAAGCCGGAGTTTAAGAGCAAGACACTGACACTAGCTGCCGGTGATACCATTGCCAATCCAGAGAAGGTCTCACTGGCGCGTGATCTAATTCACACCAGCTGCTCACTGACCTTCATTCAGGAGGTGCCTGACCAGTTGACGACGAGGGTGAGCACCTTTGCGATTGCGCCCTCACAGCGCATCGGACGAACCATTTGCGCGTACCTTGCCCTCTGCAAGCTAGGCGTCGCCAAGAGCCTGCAGGCAATCATCCCACAGCTGTCCACTGCCGATGACTTTGCGACCTACCTACGCCTGACGCAGTGCAACGGTGCTCTCTTTCCCACTCAGCACTGCACTAGTCACTCGTCGCCGCTGAGCAGCACACTGCAACAGCAGCCGCTGGAGCAGAAGGTGCTGCAAGTGCTGCCGGCCAATGTCGTCGAGGAAGTGGGCCGAAACTTGGACTTTGTGACGCACATACTGCAGGAGGTGTACCGGCCCTTTCTGAAGAACCACCGAATGTCCTGTCCGGGACTGCTGCTGGGGCGCATTGAGCGTGAGCTCTTCGAGTACCACAATCGCCAGCAGCAGATCATGGACGAGAGCGGTGCTTTCGACCGGTGCAGTGCGCACATTGAGAAGTGCATCGGCGAGCTGGTGCGCCAGTACGACGGCACCCAGTTCTGGGACCACCTGCAGCTGCTCTCCGCCATTGCCGCCCTTCTCACCGCCAATCTCGCCCAGCCACTGGTGCCCTCTCCGCTGCACTTTAACTGCTCGC